GATTCCTGGAACAAATTCCGATCGCCGGTGTGTAAACGAAAGATAGAACGTCAATCAGGGGTAGCATGGCTAATCAACAGATGTACTGGAAAAGGAGAGTCGGAATAAATCTTCTATTTTTTACGCTTTTTCAAGGTGTACTGACTATATCAATATCATGTCCGATGCTGTGGATTATTCCCTTCGTTTGGTTTGATAGCCATCAATAGTTTTCAAATACCACTCCCATTAGCCACACAGGACTATGGGACAGGGCGCATTGTTGAGTGTTCCTAGAGTGCATCCAACTCAATAAGCATTGATCGCTAGACTAACAATACGAACAAGAGGAAGGTACGTTACGCTGCAATGCGCATCGTGAAGTATATATTCATGACGTCTGTTTGGTCCTTCCTAACTCATGCCTGACGTCGGGTTGATTATAAAAACAGCTATCTTTGACCTCAGTTAATTGTTCAGATCTTCTACAGCAGCGGTCTCGATCATCAACTCCGTGAGGGACGGTGATTGTAACTCCTGAGTGACCTTCTCCGCCTCTTCCAGCTTTCTTGAACCCTGATTGGGAACTGCGGCTGCAAGCTGTAGTGGCACTACAGTAGTGCCATCGCGCCGGGTTCGGTTAGAGTCTCCTCGGGAGACTCTCCTCGAAATGTTGACAACAAAAACCCAATTCGATAGTTCCAGCAACAAAACCACATGATCGATCCCAGTACATCATTCGGCTCTTCGGGAATAATTTTCCCATCTACTGACACGGGCAAGGTCGTGAACCCAGAGGGAGCAGTGCTCCCGGTCCGGGAGTCCCGAAGTAACGAGATCTACTCGAAGCATCCTCTCAGCGCCACCAAGACTCACATCACACCAGGGCTGTTCAAGAGTGTAAAGTGTTATTACTGGCATGAAGAATTGTGAGGCGACTAAAGTCGCCTAAAAATTTAAGCCGATGTCTTCGTTTCAATCTGCCTGGAGTCAGCTTTGCGGTGTCGGCCGATTCTAAGTGGCCACGGAAGGTCTACGGGACACCAAGAACATCAATGACTCCCATGTTACCATCGAACTGATGAGAACTCCCAGTTCTTCTCGGTGGACGACAGTAGTTGCAGCGTGGGAGGCGGTCTTGACACGTCGCGCTGTTAACGATTTGGGAACTCAAGGCAATGGTTAATGGAATCTAGAGATTCTATCTACAATCGTACTCATAAAATCATCAACTAGCTTCAAGCTAAGCAAAGATTCCATAGTTGTGCGATCTGTACAACTACACGCGCCCCACAGGTCATGACAATTCGGGAACTCTGAACTGTGAGCAGACTCCGTTCAACAGAGCAGTACTCCAGCCGCTGGAGCCCAGTGCTGTTCAACACAATAGAACGCATCTCACTACAGAAAATACCACATACTACTTCAATATCATCGATTAGTATCATGCAATCCCATGAAGCTGAAAGCAGTCCACTATCACTGACCCGTACCAGAGATATTCTAGCACGGAGGGCCTCCGCCGGAGGCTGTTGCCGAGGATAACTGTTTATTTCTGACCCGATCCGATCCGGAGAATCTCTAACAAAGCAAGTTCCACAGACCGGGAGATCTTGGCGACTCGATATATCGATAGGATGAGCCAGATACGTCCATTCAAAACTCGGATTCAGCATATCATTGTCGTCCGGAGTCAGATTTTTGCATTGGAATTCTGCAACCACCGTTATGATTACAGTAATCAGATTACTGGAGCACCGTTCTTGTACACGCAATCGCACTTGCTGCCATTCTTGGGCAGGCGAATTTCCTCTCTCCCTTCGAAGAAAGGGAGACAATCGGAGAATCCTGCAGCCACGCGAGCATGGGAGCGATGGTTTCGTATGGATATGGCTTCATAAGAAATAGTATATTCTCACCTCTTAGGGGTGAGAATCTACAACTGATCCTGTAGACTACATGATGATCGACAGTCGGATATGTGCTCAGAGCAGTGCCATTCGGTACCAGAAAGCCCACGATCGACCCAACTGCAGCGTCGAATGTGAAGTTTATACGGGAGGAGCCAGGGTTTGCCCTTTGGGCGGGCAAGCGTCAAAATTTCGCGGAAAGGAAATTTTATCACGGAAAATTTCGGAAACGGTGGAAATGGAAATTTCCGTGTAAATCTCGCACGCCATGCGGGCGCGCGAGACATGCGATCAGCCAGGTATGCCCACCGGACCCAACGTATGCCACTTCCGGGCCCAACGTATGTCATGCCAAATAGGGTGGTTTGAACCAGAGAAATCGCGGCCCTCCGGCCCGCTATAGTAGCCATGTCATCTTAGGGTGATATACGAGTCTGGCCGAGGCTGGCCGAGTTCTGCTTCAGTTTGTATCCTAGGTAGCTGAGTCTACTGTTCTGGGTCGAACGTGAGCAAAAGCTTGGGCTCTTAGAGGGGAAATGAGATATTTCATCTCGTTTTTCATCCACCATAATCATGCTGAATTACGGGAGAAAGTGATCGATGTCTACGCCCTATGGCCCATAGGGCCCAAACCCATAGGCTATGGGTCTCCACCTCGGATACCGTCCATCATGCTGGGGCTCAGCAGCTTATGATAAGCAGCTCATGGACGATAAGCTGCCTATCCAAAGTGACGCAAATGTGTGAATGCGAAGATTACCGCCGAAGATGTACTCGATAGAACGCAAGATATGGTGGACTTAGTCCACTGGACTACAGCCAAGTAGGTCGATAGCGCCAACCGTGAAAATAACTGAAGCTACGCCGACACTATTCGACTCTCTCGAGAGAGAACGCAAGATTGCAAGATAGTTGGAGAATCGCTAACTCTTGAGAGGCTCACGCGCACGCCCACCTGATCGATATCTGAGGGTAACCGCAAGATGTATTCATAGTGACCAGTAGACACCTGCGAACGCCTTCACTAGCTTTATTCGGCCATTATGAATGAATCTGAACTACTTCTCTCCTCTCTATTACCCTGGGCACGATTTTTTGGGCATTTTAGCAAATTTCCAAGAATTTCCAGCCTCAACGGAAATTTCTGAAATTTTCTCGAAAATTTCCTTCGGAAATTTCCGCCCGTGCCCAAAGGGCAAACCCTGGGAGGAGCCAGATATGTTTGCTTGGGATAGAACGGACGAAAAATCTAGGAACTCCATGTCAATCAACAGGAACTGATCACAGATCAACAGAAAATTGAGGAAAACACAACTTCGATTCTTTTCAAGATATCGGCTGATCAGGCGATCAGGCCCAATACCAAGTGTTATACAGGTACAGTTATGTATAATACAGCAGCTAGCGGTCACCCATAGATGGGTAACTCAGTGCCCAGAAAGAATGACAGTAAGCGGAATTGTGCGAGTTGTGGCTTTGCTAAATGATAGTTCGTACTCAGTGATAGTCGACATTCCTCCAACTCCCTTGAAGAGTGCCAACTACAAGGCTCTACCCCTACTTTGACGAAGAAGAGTATCCCCGTTGTCGATTAAAAAGTATGTTGATATGCACAATTATTGGATAGTCGACAGCTAACCGGGGATCGCCAGAAGAGATCAATACTTCATGAGCGGCTCATGATGAGCCCCCTTCTGCTCCGTATAATCATCTCCAACGCCTGCTCATGCTATTGATGAGAGTATCTTCGTCAAAGTTACAATAAATCTTCTTCACTCGCTCCACAAATGCTGATTTGGCCGAGTAGGGACTTTCTGCAATAGCTGCCGCGCGTAAGCGACGATTCAGGATCGCAATCGACGTTTCTATGCATGCCAAGTCTGGGCTTCTCGGAGAAAGAAGCGAGAATGAGCATCCAGCAGCACTGGGAAACCCCCTACCGTAAGGGCCCTACGGGAAGCCGCTTTGGGAGCGCAATAATTGTCGGCTAATAGAGTCTTGCGGACATGTGATATCGTCTACTCGTTTTTTAGTAGCGGAATCGCCACAGTAAGATAAAAAGGACTCCTACTATTTGGCAGAATTACTCTTTATTGCCGTGATTATTGGGCGCTCTCACCATGCTAATACCCCAACAAAT